AAAAAAAAAAAAAAAAAAAAACAGATAAGAAATAGTTAAGAACTGTCATCTCTCTCCCTTTATATTTAAGATTTATTGTATATTACTTGAATTTTGGCAGTAAACAGACCTAAATTAGAATTCATACTGTTATTTGTTGCATGCAAGATTAGACAAATTACTTAATCTCTGAGATACAGTATACCCATCTATTAGCATAATGCACTCACAAATCTTTAGTGAAGTGCAATAGTAAAGCACTAGCAGAGCAAGTACTTATTTAATGGACATTAGTTTCTTAAACTTGCTGATATATAGTTCAGCTGTCATATCAGATAAGAACAATGAGTATAGAAAAATGCAAGCCAAAATTACTGGCTTTGAATTATAGGATCAAAAACACTTTACAGGTTCATTATAAAGTGATCTGAAAAAATGAAAGAGCCTGGTGCCAGTAGCTCACAGCTGTAATCCTAGCTACTCAGAGGGCCGAGATCTGAGAATCGCAGTTCAAAGCTAGCCCAAGCAAGAAAGTCCATGAGACTCTTATCTCCAATTAACTACCAGAAAACCAGTGGCACTGTGGCTCAAGTAATAGTGCTACCCTTGAGCTGAAGAGCTGAAGGACAGAACCCAAGCCCCGTGTTCAAGCCCCATGACCAACAAAATAAATAAAACATATCCTTTATACAGTTTTTCTTAGAAAAGAACTATACTCAATGACTATCCTAGCTAATGCTACTCTTATTTTCTAACCTACATAAGAGGTTGTTAATTTTCTACTTAGCATATACTGTAACTTGTAACTAGTTTGTTTTCTTCTTTGCTTATTTCTGCTCCTAAACATAATCACAGGCAAAAAGCCTGAGATGTAGCTCAGTGGCTAAGCGCTTGCCTAGCAAGTGCAATGCTCTGGGTTCAATTTCTAGTTCCAAAAAAGAAAAAAATACAAAAAAAAAAATTAGGGTTAAAAAAGTAAGGAATGGCTGGGGATGTAGTTCAATGGTAAAGCAACTTCAGTTCAGTCCCCAGCACTATAAATAAATTATTCACCATTCAAACTGAGCCACTTTTATTATTCTGGAGTATCTTCTCCCAATATTTTCACAAGCAATTTAGACAAGAAATGACAAATAGCTTGTACCTTAATTTTTTTGTTCTGGTCTTGGGGCTTGAACTTGGGGACAGAGATCAGGACTGTCCCTAAGCCTCTGTACTCAAGGCTAGTGCACTACAACTTGAGCCACAGCACCACTTCCAGCTTCACCTGAGCAGTTTTATTGGAGAAAAGACTCTCACAGACTTTTCTGCCTGAGCTGACTTCGAACTGCCATCTTGAGACTCTTGAGTAGCTAGGATTATAGGTGTGAACTACCAGCACCCGACTAAAATCTGATTTTTTTTCTTTTGTCAGTTGTGGGGCTTGAACTCAGGGCCTGGGCACTGTCCCTGTGCCTTTGTGCTCAAGGCTACCTCTCTACCACTTTTGAGCCACAGGGTCACTTCCTCAATTTTTTTTTAATCAAATATCACTAGGTACTTTTTATACTGTTATATAACATTTGAAACTAAGACTATAATGGACCCTTTCTCCTATTATAATCTTAATAAAATATATATATAACATATAATGTTAATAAAAGGTATTTTGGAATTGCAAAGTACTAATTTCTAATGACTGTAAATGATACATGAATTGAAAAACAGTTACTCGAGATTAACTCACCCTTTTTAGTAGCTGATTTGTGAGGGTCTGTAGTGTATTCACAGTGTATGTCTTCATGAGGTGCAAAGCTTTAGAAAGACATTGTTTAAACTTCAGTAAGTATACAGGGTAATCTTTAAAATTAGGCTGTAAAAAAAAAAAAGATTTACAAAGAAGAAATAAACTTTAACCAAAAAAAAATAAGCTTAAATGGGGATGGGGGGGTAAAACTGGGAGAATAAGGGATGAGGTGACATTGTCCAAAATGAAATATACTCTTTAACTGACTTATATAACTGTAACCTCTCTGTCCATCACCTTTATAATAACAATTTTAAAATTTTAAAAAGCAAGCTTAAAATAAAAACATGCTGTCCTTTACGTAAAGCAATATATGAAGTTCAAAATAAAGGTTTACACAAAATGAATATCAGGATCCTGAAACATGTTGGATGCTGAGGGAGTGGGGCACAAGTAGACTGGAGAGGAAGCAGCACAGAAATGGAGGGTGGAAGAGTAGCAAATACAGTCATTATATTCACTGTACATTATGCAAAAGCTGAAATACCTAACTTGAAGGTATGAATGGAACTGGAAAAGACAGGGGAGTACAATGGAAAGGAGATATTGGTAAAGAGTGATCTGACTTGTGGAACTGAAACTCTGTGTACAACTATGTAAAATAAGTAGACAAATAAATAATAATAAATAAATATCATGAGCTGACTGAAGAGGATTACTATAACAACTTGGTCTCAGCCAATCCTCTGTTCCAACAACATGGTTATTTGCAGTTTTGACCAAAATATATTTTCAGTAACCCACAGACTTTGAGACTGATATATAAGGCCCTACAAATAAGGGTAAGAGTTAGGAGACATAAATAGACCAATAAGTCCTTGGGAGACAAAAAGCGTTATTAAAATCAAAGATTATGTCCCTTTCTCTCCTCCCAAGAAACCATTTCTATTTGTAAAGAAATACCTTGCATGTTCAGATATCCCCAGCTTACACTTTCAGGTAGGACAAAACTGACTCAACCAGAAAGGACCCTTTCTACTGTAGGGGAAGCCTCAGAAGCTGAAAGTACTTTTTTTATATTTTTATTATCTTTAAGTAGTTGTACAAGTTACCACTCAACAAAGCAGTTTATGAATACAGTGCATCTTGTTCAATGTCACCCCTTTCAACATTCCAACTCATTCCTCCCAACACATCCTTTCCCTCACTTTTCTTAATGGTGTAGGATACATGTTGAATTTTTTGCCATTTAATAAAGCAATTCATGAATACCAATGCATCTTGGTCTGTGTAACCCCTCCAACATTTACCCCCTTTCAATCCATGCTTTCCCTTATTTTTCTTAATTTTGTAGAATGTACAATAAATTCTTGACTGCATTCTCCTCCCCTTTTTCCCTTCATCCACCCCTTTCCCCTTGGCCCCACCCCCACCTCTTACAAGTACTCATTTCCTGGTGCTTATTTTGTTGGGCTTTGACTTAGTCTTTCTAAAGAATTATACTATTGGAGCTCTCTACTGAGTCTCTTTGAAGGCACTTTTTATACCATTCCTGAAAACAACGAAGACCTTATTGCTACTATTGTTCCACATGTGACAAATATTACATACACTCAACCCGCATAGAGGGTTGGTTGTAGGACCCTCAGGGATATCAAAATCTGTGAATTCTCAAGTCTCTTACATAAAATTGTATAGTATTTCCAAATAATCTATGTGTATCCACTCATATACTTTACATGAACTTTAGATAAACATCTGTAAATTATGTACAACATCTAATACAATGTGAATGTTATGAACAGTTGGCACATTGTATTTTCACAGAACAGTAACAAACAGCATATGCTATTTAGTTCATTTTTTTCCTAAGTCTTCCATTCAAAGTTCAGCCTGTGTGGCTGAATCCACAGATGCAGAAGCCATGGATAGAAGGAGTGACCATTTTTCCCACAGAAAAAAATTGTTATTTTATAGTAGAAGTTGTGTAACAGGAATGCTAAGATTTCTTAAAATCACATTGTACTGGAGGTATGGCTCAAGTGTTATAGCACAAGCCTAGTAAGCACAAAGCCTTGAGTTCAAACCCCAATACCACCAAAAAATAAATAAAACTTACATGAGATGAGATATACATTATACAATCATCTAATTTGGCCAGCATAGGTATAAATCCTTCACTATTCACAGACAACGTAGGAGAATTCAGTTTCTTCAAGTGGAAAAAAAGTTATTGACAAAAAAAGTAAAAGTTGAAAATTATGAATTAGAATTAACATATTTCCTTTTAGAGCTAATATAGTGTACTTGTATTTTTAACAACACATTTTAAAACTCATTAAAATTATCTTCAAAAGAGTCCATGTACAATAAACAAAAATAAAAAACAATACTGCTTTAATTCAGTTAATACCTATTAAACTTTAATAGAATCCTGTATAAACTAGCAAATCCTGTACAAACTGCACGAAAGTTGAAACAATACATCAAATACCTATCCTTACTTTTTACAATTTAATGTTTATGATAATTCTACTTTTGAATACTTGTAGGGCTCATATTATGCTTAGCATTCACATATGAAAATCAAGTATGTGGCTAGGAGTGGGAAGGAAGTGGCTCCACCATAAAGCACCTGCCTAAAACGAGGGTCTGAGTTCAATCCCCAGAACCACAAAAAGAAGTCAAATTATTATTAGTCAATTATTTATCTTGATTCACAAGTAGCATACCAATGAATACATCTCCACTGCACTCAACGCTAACTGGATGCTAGTTTTATTATTGTATTTATTACACTGTAATACTCATTATTTTAATGACATACTTTCATTATAATTACTGTAATTTATGAGTCAGAAAAATATAGAAATATAATTTACAGCAGCCTATATTAGCTATTAGTTAGAATTCTAGATACTTTATCGTGATACGTTTCTTCAAATTAAAACATGAGAATTTTTAATGTCATAACTCATAATCACAGAAAGATTAAAAATTGAGTATTTCTTCTCATAATGTTCACAGCTTACAGACAAGATTGCTGGAAAAGATAACCAACAAAGATATTTTAATAGTAACACAACTTAGGGCTGGGAAGGTGGCTCAGTGGTAGAGTGCTTGCCTTGCATGCCTGAGGCCCTGGGTTCAATTCCTCAGCACCACATAAGAAAAAAGAAAAAAGCCGGAAGTGGCGCTGTGGCTCAAGTGGGAGAGTGCTAGCCTTGAACTGAAGAGCTGCGGGACAGTGCCCAGGCCCAGAGTTCAGGCCCACGACCGGACCCAAAAAAAAAAAAAAAAAAAAACTTCTTTGCAACTTTATTTAAAGATACAGAGTAAGAAATGTTGAGATGACTAAAATTTAAATAGCTAACAAATATAAGAGCCACACATACCTATATTTAGTTCCTTCATCCTGATCCATCTGAGTTTGCAGCTTTGCAAACCACGAGAAAAACTGGAAAAAAAGAGTACTGTTATCAACCAAATTAAAAAAGGTAAGATGGAAAGTGACTACATGCTAAACTATGAATCAAATGGTAAGTACTACCTAAATTGTATTGTTTAGGTTCACTCATCAAGAATTGGGTTTAAGCATATATAATACATACACAATACTATATTCTAAGAAAAGAATTTTAAAAATATTGGTCATTTCCTGAGACAAGGAACAGCATTAAAGAAACAATATATAAAAAAATAAATGTTTTCCCCAAGTAACAAGCTAATACTACTTACTAGCTAGCTTGCCACCAATATGAATAGAATAGAGCTTTATACAAATATCATTATTATCTAATAAGAAATATAAAAATATAAACTCAAAAATAATATTACAGACATTTAAGAACATGGAATATTAAGAAATTGAGGGGCACTGGAGGAAAGAAAAGAAAGATGGAGGGTGAATGATTTTGAAATACATTGCAATTATGTATGAGGATAGCATAAGGAATCTCAATGACAGCTACTGATTAACAGAGAGGACAGGGAAAAAGCAGCATTCTAGATTTGCACAATGTAATATATCCACATGTGACACACAGTAAAACCCTTTGGTAGAACACACACTTTTAAAAAAAGAATGACAGGAAAGTAAAACAAGCACTGATGGAAGCTGGATACCAACAAAAGAGAAAGGGCTAAAAAGATTGTGAATAAGGATGACTATGGTTGAAATTGTTTTTAAATGTGGGGAAAGGGTTAAGGGAAAGTAAGAGAGGAGGTAAGGTTGATCCCAGCCCATTGCTTAGTGTGGAAATGTCACAATGAAACCTTCTTATACAAAAAGAACAAAGAACATGGCCTTTAACATTAGTCTGAATCTAGCCCTACCACACCAGTGTTATGGAAAATATCCATGATTTAAAATATGCAGAGTTGAACATGGTGAGACATACTTGTAATCCCATTACTTGGGAGGGGTTTAAGTTAGGCAAGCATAAAGGAGGTTTAGGTGATGATAAAAATGTATTATTACTTGATAGTGGCAGTTATACCAGTATACACTAGTCAAAATTCACCTAGCTGACACATAAAAACTGGTAACTCAATTCATCTTTTTTAACCTTTTAGAGAGTCATGCAAATTTAATATAGGAGATTTCATTTTCATTTCAGTCATGGTAAGATTCCTTGTCCAATTCTGAAGTAGAAGTCAATGTCAAGCATAAACTGACAAGTTGAACTGAAACCCCTCTGTACAATAAAAATAAATGTATAATTTTAAAAATCAAAAGTCAGTGCCAAGGATACAAAGGTCTGCATGTACACTGACTATCATTTAGAGAGCACTTAGTGTGTGTTGCCTGCCACACACCACATCTACAAGCATCAGCCCATTTAATTCTCATAAAGATCTTATGTTACATAAGATTAGGCACATGAGTTATTCTAGATGAATCCACAGATCAAGATTCTACCTAATAAGTAAGAAGGCAAAAGGGGCAGGGGTTTGGGAGTTTGCTCAAATGGCAGAGAATTTGCTTAGGAAGATTGAAGTCCTGAGTTTAAAAACCTCAGTCTCTCTCTCTCTCTCTCTCTCTCCTTCTCTCTGTCTCTCTCTCTCTCTCACACACACACAATCAACCAGTCTTACAATATACACATTAGAATGTCTTAACTTTTACTGCCAATATGACTGTGCATCAAATTGACTTAAAACAAACAGTCACTATGACCATGTGCACCTGATCATATAGAATAATTAATACATATTAAAAAGAACTCCAGGAAATGGAAACAAGAAGTTTTTCTTTGATGTTTTCTCTTCTGTTTGTACTGTTTGTTCCTCTACCTGTCTTTGGGAAGGCAAGAGAGGGGCACAGAAATAGAAGATATAGGGTGAATAAATGCAGCAGTGGTAGTCACTAGACATTCATTGTGTTGAAAATGAACTATACAATTTGTGAGTAGGGATAGAAAGGAAAAACTTGGGAGAGGCGAGGAAGGCCTGACATTGTCTAAAAAGAAATGCACTCAGGCTGGGAATGTGGCTTAGTGGTAGAGTGCTTGCCTAGCATGCACTCAGGACCACATAAACAGAAAAGGCCAGAAGTGGTACTGTGGATCAAGTGGTAGAGAGTGCTTACCTTAAGAAAAAGAAGCTCAGGGTCAGTACCCAGACCCTGAGTTCAAGCCCCAGGACTGGTTAAAAAAAAAAAATGCACTCATTACCCAATTTATGCAATTGGTAACCCCTCTGTACATCACCTTTATATAAATAACAATTTAAAAAATAAATTTTAGCCAGGTACATGGTGGCTTGTGCCTGTAATCCTAGCTAGTCAGGGAGCTAAGATTGCAGTCCAAAACCAGATAGGGCAGGAAAGTCTGCGAGACTCTTATCTCCAATAAACTACTCAGAAAAAGTCCAAAATGGTGCTGTGGCTCAAGTGGCAGAGCACTAGCCCTTAGAACAAAGAGGCTCAAAGACAATGCCCAGGCCCTGAGTTCAAGTCCCAGATCAGGCAAAAAAAACAAAGATACATTCATTTACCTGCTGTGCAGTCTCAATTCTTTCATCTCCCATTTCTAAGGAAGTGAAGCCTTTCAAGAGAATATCTTCTGTAGACTCAGGCACTACTGCAGCTGGCTCAGTGGACAGCAATTGGGATGTTAAACTGCACAAGTCATCCATTGGAAGCTTGAAAAAAGAAAAATATTTAAGCAACTTCAAAGTTCTCTGAATTTAACTCAAGATGTTTTTCATCTCAGTTGCTTTTAAAGATAAAAGGATATGAGATTAATAAATGTCATTTATACTAACACTTGTTAAATGCTACTCTCAAAGTGTAAACACAGACAGATACTGGTGGCTCAAGCCTAAAAACCTAGCTAGGGGCTGAGATTTGAGATCTGGGTTCAGGTTAGAGGCTCAAAGCCAGCCTGGGGCAAGAAAGTTAATGAGACTCTTACCTCTGATTAACCACCAAAAAGCTAGAAGTAGAGCTGTGGCTCACAAAGCACCAGCCTAGAGCAAAATAAAAATCTCAGGGAAAGCACCACCAATATCCCATTGTGTGATTAGTAAGGTATGATTCTGAGTTAGCTAGTAAATCTGTACTCATCCACACATTTTCTCACTTGAATCTCTTGTGAACAGAAAAAGCTGTTAAAAGTAGCTTGCTCTTCCAAGATTTAACACAAAAGCCTGACCAACCACACCCAAATGTTAGCCAATAAAATCTACTTTTTCCTATCAGTTCTGTCCACCGATACATCTCACCTACGCTCTCACTACAGATTTTGAAATTATATCAGAATGGAAAGGATTTCATAGGTTCCTATCAATTTCAGGAGAGCTCCAAGGACAAGACCTCAGTTTTCCAACACTACCTCTTAGTGCTTTCCAGTTCTCCACTACTAAACATAGTTAGAAACCGAACATGGTGGCTTATACCTGTAATCTTAAGCTACCTAAGAGATGGAGATCAGAAAGATCTGATCAAGGCCAGAACTCAAGGCCAGAATGGGAAAAAAGTTTATGATTTCCCCCTCATACCCCATCCCCATCTCAAGCATGTGTGTCATTCCAGCTACACAAAGCATAAATAAGAATACTGTGAGATCTGAAGGCAATCTGACTGTGGTATTTGTCGCTCCACTGACCATGAGGGTTACTGAGCTGATCTGGATGGCTAGGAGGGTGTCTCCCCTCTCCCTCATCGCTTCACCATTGTGCACTCAGTCGAAGAGGACAGACATAAAGAAGGACTACTTTTCAGTCAGAGGTATACAAGTAGCTGTGCTTCTCTGCAAGAACTGCCAAACAAATGCTCAAGAGGATCATGATCAGGCTGGCCCAGATAACTCAGGTATTAACTTACCTGAATAAAGTCCTATATACAAGCTGCTTTTAGCCTTTTTTTTTTGGGGGGGGTCCAGTCGTGGGGCCTGAAATCTGGGCCTGGGAGCTGTCCCTCAGCTCTTCAGCTCAAGGCTAGCACTCTAGGAGGCTGGGAAGGGAGGTGAAGGGTAAACAAAGGAGGCTGCAATGCTTGATAAGAAATGTATGCAATATCCTGCCCATGTAATTGTAACCCCTCTGTACAGTATGTTCACAAATAAAATAAAATAAAAAGGCTAGCATTCTACCACTTGAGCCACAGCACCACTTCTGGCTTTTTTCTTTTTGCTTATGTGGTGCTGAGGAATCGAACCCAGGGCCTCTGGCATGCAAGGCAAGCGCTCTACCACTGAGCCACCTTCCCAGCCCTTTTAGACCTAATAGAAAGGACAAAGTAGCCAGGCACCAGTGGCCCAGGCCTGTAATCCTAGCTACTCAAGAGGCTGAGATCTGAGGACTGTGGTTCAAAGCCAGTCCAGGCAGGAAAGTCCATTACTCTTACCACCAATAAACCACCAGAAAAAAACAGAAGTGGCACTGTGGCTAGAGCACTAGCCTTGAAAAACAGTGCCCAGGCCCAGAGTTCAAGCCCCACAACTGACAAAAGGAAGGAAGGAAGGAAGGAAGGAAGGAAGGAAGGAAGGAAGGAAGGAAGGAAG